GCCTCCCCGGCTTCTGGTTCACTTTGGCAGCGCAAACCTCCATCTGCCGAGACTTTCCTCCCTCCCTGCCACACCAAATCCTGTTTCCTGCAAGATGATACCCACGCCCCGCATCAGTGCCACGAGGTTCCCAGCCCAGCGGCTCAGACCGCAGTACTTCCGGCACGCCCTCGGGGCGATGTGCGCACGCGCAGGGTTGGGTCCCTCCAAGTGAAGATCAGTTCCCAGCTGGACCTGGAGGTAGGTCCCAACAGATACTTCTGACTGGCCTAGTGAGGCGTGGACCGGATGTTCAGATCCAGTCCTTTCTTTCCCCTCGACCCCCAGGATAAAAAGCCTCAATTCCGATACCCCACACCTTAATCCTGCCCCTCCCAGACTCAGCAGAGCTTCCTCCCAGGCACAACCCCTCCCACCTCGCCTAAGTCCTTCTGCTGGCTTCTGCCTTTCCAAAACAAGCTCCAGTCATCCTCGAGGTCATACCCCGACCCCGCAACCCCCCTCCAGGTCAGCCAGATCACCTGCAGATTTATGTTGGTCTTGGTCTATGGCATTTTCCTTTGTCACCTCCAGCCTATCTTTCCCTCCTGGGGAAATGTTCCTTCTAAAATTGACTTTCTGGCCCGGCCAGCTATTCAGTGGTTGAGTGTCAACCTATGAACCAGGAGGCCACGGTTTCATTCCCTGTCAGAGCAGGGATTGTGGGCTTGATCCCCAGTGTGGGGCATGCAAGAGGCAGCCAATCAATAATTCTCTCTCATCATTGATGTTTCTATCTTTCTCTCTCCCTCTCCCTTCATCTTTGAAATCAATTTAAAAGAAAAAAGAAAAGGAATCCACCAATGAACGCATAAGTGGAACAAAAAATCAGCGTTTCTCTCTCTCACACATCCCCTTACTCTCTATCAAATCAATAAATACATTAAAAACACACACACATTTTTCTGAAGTGCCACACTGACTTTTCAAAGCTCTCAGTTTTACACAGAAAGGTATGTCCAAGCAGTTGTGCTGGAGGAGAGTTCCATCCACCATTTGATGGTCCCTCGCTCCTTAGAATCTGGCCCGAACATCAGAATTCAGTTTTGGGGAGACACCAATTGCTGCTAATAAAACTAGGTGGACATATAGGGAAGAGCAACTTGACTAATACTGCCATACAATACTGACATAACTCATCTAGGAATAAATTAAAACAGATTTCCAATAAATTGTATAAACTATATATAATTTTATTTTTCTCTTCTACTTAAAATCAGCTCCTACAGTAATGCATCTAGCTTGACAAAATTCATTTTTTAAAATATATTTTATTGATTCACTACAGAGAGGAAGGGAGAGGGATAGATAGTTAGAAACATCGATGAGAGAGAAACATCGATCAGCTGCTCCCTGCACACTCCCCACCGGGCGTGTATCCGCAACCAAGGTACATGCCCCTGACCAAAATCAAACCCAGGACCCTTCTTTCCGCAGGCCGACACTCTACTGAACCAAACCAATTATGGCTAGCTTGATAAAATTCAATTAAAAAGCTCACCTTCAATTAAAAAATGGTCAAAGGATCTGAATAGACATTTTTCCAACGATATGCAAATAGCTAGTAAGCACAGAAAAGTTGTACAGCATCATTAGCTATTAGAAAAATCCAAATCAAAACCACAATGACATACTACTTTACACATACTAGGATTACTGTATAGTAATGAAAGAGTTGGGTAACTGCAAATATTGGTGAGAATATAGAAATATTGGACACTGCTGGTAGAAATATAAAATGGTACAACCACTTTGGAAAAATAGCCTGGCAGTTCTCCCTAAAGGTAAACCTTTACATACAATCTGTTGTCAAGGTACATACCCGAGAATCTAAGCAAGCATGTCAAACTTGAGATCAACGAGCATGCAGCCCACCAACTGTGAGTTTGACATGCTTGAGAGCATATGCCCACATGAAAACTTGCTGTGAATGTTCTTAGCAGCACTATTCATAAGAATCAAAAGCTGGAGAAAATCCAAGTGTCCATCAACAAATGAATGGATAATCACACCTGTCAGAATGGCCAACATCAACAAATCAACAAACAACAAGTGTTGGCGAGGTTGAGGAGAAAAAGGAACCCTCATGCACTGCTGGTGGGAATGCAGACTGGTGCAACCACTATGGAGAACAGTATGGAGTTTCCTCAAAAAACTTAAAATGGAACTCCCATTTGACCCAGTAATCCCACTCCTAGGATTATATCCCAAGAAACTAGAAACACCAATCAGAAAGGATATATGCACCCCTATGTTCATAGCAGCACAATCTACAATAGCTAGGATTTGGAAACAGCCTAGGTGCCCATCAGCAGATTATTGGATCAAAAAACTATGGTATATCTACACAATGGAATACTATGCTGCCATTAAAAAGAAGGAATTCTCATCATTTGCAGCAAACTGGATGGAATTGAAGAACATCATGTTGAGTGAAATAAGCCAGTCAATGAAAGAGAAACACCACATGACCTCACTCATTTATGGATAATAAAGAACATTATAAACTGATGAACCAAAAGATAGATATAGAGACAGTAAAGCAACAAGCAGACTGTCAAATTACAGCAGGGAGGGTAGGGAGATCTGGGGAAGATAAGAGATCAACCGAAGGACTTGTATACATGCATATAAGTACAACCAATGGACATAAAACTCTGGGGAGGGAGGGCATGTATGGGGGGCGGGGGAGGCAATGGTAAAATATGTACACAGATAATAATTTAATTTTTTAAAAAAAGGAAGAAAAAAACAAATGAGTGGATAAAATGTAGTATGTCATACAATGGAATGTCATGTAATAATGAGTACTGAGTGTGTATGAACCTTAAAAAAAAATTTTTTAATTGATTTTAGAGAGGAAGGGAGAGGGAGAGATAGAAACATTGATGATGAGAATCATTGATCAGCTGCCTCCTGCACGCCCCCTATTGGGGATCAAGACCGCAACCCAGGCATGTGCCCTTGGCCAGAATCGAACCTGGGACCCTTCAGTCTCCAGGCCGACGCTCTATCCATTGAGCAAACCAGCTAGGGCTCAAATTGCTTATATAACATATTTTCATTTTTCAATTGATATATTTATGAAATTAGTTGGGGGTCTTAAAATACTAAATTTAAAAATTGATTTTTCAACTTAATGACTGGTTACAGAGTTAAAATGTCAATTTTTTTGTTTTTGTCTTTTTTCTGAACTTATTAAGATTGGTTTGCAAAACCTTACAGGTTTCAAGTGTACAATTCAATGAAACCTCATCTGCTCACTGCATTATGTGTTTGTCACCCATGCAAAGCCTCTTTCCAACCCCATTTCTACCCACCTCCACCTACCCTCATCCCCCTTCCCTTTAGCTGTCATCGCACTGTCTGTGCTCATGGGCTATGTTCTTTGGCTAATCCATTCACTCTCTTTCATCCAGTCCCCCAACCCCTTCCCCTCTGACAGCTGTCAATCTGTTCCATATAGCCATGCCTCTGTTTCTATTTTGTTCTTCAGTTTATTTTGTTCATCAGATTCCACATATAAGTGAGATCACATGGTATTTGTCTTTCTCTGACTGGCTAATTTTACTTAGCATAATAATTTCCAGCCCAACAATGCTGTTGCAAAAAGTCAGATTTCAAAAGGTCAATTTTTAAGTTGGCTTAACTGTGTTCCACGCCACCTGCAGACTTCTGAAGTCCCACATACAGGCCTGTTCTACCACCACAAAAAAGGCAGGCCGTCCATCCCATAATCAAAGGCAACAAATTTGTAGCGATTATCTAATTAATTTCCGGGCAGTGTTCTAAGACACAGTGGGGGGGGGGGGGGAAGTTGAAGATATTAAGATCCACCCCAGCCGAGACCGGTTTGGCTCAGTGGATAGAACGTCATCCCGCAGACTGAATTGTCCCGGGTTGGATTCCAGACCAGGGCACACCCCCAGTGGGAGGAGGAAGGGGTGTGAAGGAGGCAACTGATCAATGCTTCTTTCTCATCGATGTTTCTAACTTTCTCTCTCTCCTTTCCTCTCTATATAAAATATAAAATAAAAAAGATCCCCCCACCAGTCTAGGCCTGCTGACCTCCCTAGTGTCACTGTCCATCAATCCTATATAATAATTGCAAACTGGAGGCCGACTCAGGGGTGTCCCCCCCACACCCTGGAGCGCGGTACCCCCGTGTCCACGCAGGTTTCCTCCTCACTCTGCCGTCCCCGCGGGGTTCTCTGCGCGTGATACCAGGCCGCAGCGGGAACTACAAGGAATAAGGGTTAGGGAGCGGCGGCGGGGAGAGGTCTGTGATTTTAGATAAGCTGGTCATCAGGGACCCCCTCCCGTGGGTAACATCTGAGCAGATCCCCGCGGGAAGAAGGAGCGGGCCACGGGCGAGTGGGGCACCCATCGCTTGCCAGGAGAGAGCGTTAGACCCGGTGCGGGAGCGAAGAAAGCCGTTAGCGGCGTCAGGCTTTACCTGCACCTTGGCACCGGGGACACAACACCCAGGACCAGCTCAGGACCGGGGCCCTGCCCGGCTGCGCACTGTCCGCCTGAGGGGGCAGATTCTGAGGCGATTTGGAACCGCAATGGCCTGACTTCGCATTCTAGCTTCCGAGTCACAGACTCGGAAGCTTTTGCAACCAGCACGTCCCCTTCTCAGACTTGCTCGAGCTCCCGGGGAGAACGCGTGACGCCGAACTCCCACCAGCCCAAGCGGATTCCCAAGTCCCGCCCCTGCGTCCCCGCCTCCATCGGGGCCCCGCCTCCATCCGGGCTTCCGCTCCGAGCCTCAGTTCCCTCAAGGATCGCGGTGCTCCGCCCGAACCACGCCCCTAATCCGCTCCGCGTGGTCTCTGACCACAGGGATGGCCCCGCCCCTTCTACCTAGGCTCCGCCCCCAAGGGGCTGAGCTTCAACGATTGGTCTGAGTCCGGGACCTCTTTTCCTAATTGGCTGTGATATTTTGTGGATTTCACCAGACCTGTGATCCGGAAGTGATTCCTGTGCGCGGGCCGCGTGGATCTTCTACTGGGGAATCTTCTACTGGGGAAACCGCTGCAGCTGAGATGACCAAAATAAAGGGAGATCCCGAGGGGCGGGAAGCTCAGGCGGAGGCTTGCTCCGGGGAGCGCACTTACCAGGAGCTGCTGGTGAATCTGAACCCCATCGCACAGCCCCTGGCTTCTCGCCGCCTCACTCGGAAACTCTACAAATGCATCAAGAAAGGTGCGGTGGGCGGTAAGGGTGCGGGTTGCTGGACGAGGGCCCGCTCCCCTCCCCGCAACTGACTTATATCATTGCAGCCGTGAAACAGAAGCAGATTTGGCGCGGAGTGAAGGAGGTTCAGAAGTTTGTCAACAAAGGCGAGAAAGGGTAAGAACCCCTCCTGCTGGATTTTGCATTTTAAACGGTAATGAAGGTATCCTTACTATTTAGTAGGTGTTGGGTAAAAGTACTCTGATTCTATTAGAAGACAATCAAGCAGTCAGTAAATTCCCTTCAACAATCACTCACTCACTTCACTTACCTTATCGCTAAGGGACAGCACGGGAAAATGATCCAGGGGACGCAAATCTAATAAACTAAATGTGTTAGGGTAGACCCCACCTTCTTTCATTCAGCGACTATTTTAGTGTCTGCTCTTTTTAGGCACTGTACTATGGGGAGACAATTCCTTTAATCATATAGTCACATTCAAAATTAAAAGTTGTGATATCTATGAAAGAAAAGTATAGGATGCAGTGAGAGACTTCATCAAAGACCCTACATCTTTCTTTCCTGGCATTTATCATCACAGTCTGCAACTCATTTGCATTTTTAGTCCATGTAAGCTCTATGGGAATAGGGTAAAGACATACCCCACTTTATCCCCAGGAGTGTCTTGTGCCTTGTAGTTTCTCAAGAGATAAATTGCTGGGGAGATTTGATGCTCAATGGGGAGTTTGACTTAGGTGAGGGTAGCTGAGATCTGAAGATACAGGAATTGGTTTGGAGGAGAGGGGCTTTGCGAGAAGAAAGGTCTCAGGGCAGGAGTGGGTAGTGGTGGGTAGAAGTGCTCCCTTCTCATGGAGCTTTGTACACCATGGTAAGTTTAGTTTTTATACTCCAGAGCTTTGGGAGGGCATTGAGGATTAAAGCCAGGGAGCATCAACTTTGAATAGGATCAGGCTCAAGAGTAGATGGGGACACTGAAATAGGGTACTGTAGCTAGAAGAGGTGAAGGTGATTTTGATTAGGTTGGAGATTGAGGGAATTATAGTGCTTATATCTGAGAGGACTTTTGGACATGGAGTGAGGGGGTGTGGGTTCCATTTGAAGGGTCCACAGTGAGCTAGTGAACTGTGGGAGAGGGGCTGGGTTTGTGTGAGAAGATCATGAGTTTGATTTTAGACAAGTTTTTGAGGAATTTTTTAGACTCGTGACCCCTCTCCCCAGCATAGAGATGGCCATATGGGCTACAAACTTGAAAGAGAGAGGGCAGCTGGAGAGAATAAATTTGAGAGTTGTCAGGACATACTAGTAGATGGAACTTGATGCCATGACCATGGATGGAGTCAGCAAGAAGGTACTGAGAGGGCAGCCAAGGACCAGGCTGTGAGGAGCACCAGCATTTATTTTTTATTTATTTCAGAGAGGAAGGGAGAGGGAGAGAGATAGAAACATCAATGATGAGGGAGAATCAATGATTGGTTGCTTCCTGCACACCCTCTACTAGGGATCAAGCCCACAACCTCAGCATGTGCCCTTGACCAAAATCGAATCCAGTTTCCTTCAGTCTACAGGCTGACGCTCTATCCACTGAGCCAAACCAGCTAGGATGGAGCATCAGCATTTAAAAGCTGTTCAGCTTGGCTGGTGTGGCTTAGTGGTTGAGTGTTAACCTATGAACCAGGAGATCATGGTTCAATTCTGGTCAGGGTACATGCCTGAATTGTAGGTTCGATCCCCAGTAGGGGATGTGTAGGAGGCAGCCGATCAATGATTCTCATCATTGATCTTTCTCTCTCTCTCTCCCTCTCCCTCTCCCTCACTCTCTGAAATCAATAAAAATAAAAATAAAAAAGCTATTCAAAGAAAAGGAGCCTACAGAGGAGAGTCCAAAGGGCAAAAAGAAAACTAGGAATATGGACCCAGTACTTTAAATCAACAATTCTTTCCAGCTGTTTGCGTCTCACAGACTCTTCCATGTTTTCTGGGCTCCTGACCGGCTTACCAGTCACTTTGCCAGCTAGGAGCCCCAGCTGAGGATTCTCTGGCAAGCTTTTTTTTTTTTTTTAATATATTTTATTGATTTTTACAGAAAGGGAGAGAGAGGGATAGAGAGTTAGAAACATCGATGAGAGAGAATCACCAATCAGCTGCCCCTTGCACACCCCCTACTGGGGATGTGCCCACAACCAAGGTACATGCCCTTGACGGGAATCAAACCCGGGACCTCTCAGTCCGCAGGCCAACTATCCATTGAGCCAAACCGGTTTTGGCTCTCTGGCAAGCTTTTATTGGTTCCTTGTCATTCGAGGCCCATGCTTAGTCTGGCATGCAAGGTCCTTAGGTCTGGCCCTTGCCAATCTTCCTAGCCTTGTCTGCCCATCCCCATTCTGGATTCCAAAGCCATCCCAGGCTGCCATCCCCCTGCCTCTGTATATCTGGTTCCATTTTGATTCTCCTCTTTAAAAGTTTTCTGCCCCCTGCTCCTCCATGGGCTTCCTGACAGTCATCATTCAGCTTCTTGTTCAAGTGTGGCCTCCTGACTCCTTTAACTCCAAAGAGAGTTGTGCTCTTACTCCTTGTGGTCTCTCCTGTCCTTTATCTGTTCCAGTATGATACCACTTGCCACACTTGGTGCCATTTGTTGCCAAGAAATAGAGATCGCCTCCCTAGAGGAACACAGTCACCAGTCACAGATTTGCACCCTTTCAGAGGTTGGATGACCTACATTAAAAACTCCTTCAGGGCAGGAGCCATCTTATCTCTGTCCCAGTCCAGAGGTGGACTTCAATTAAAAGAGGGAATGAACAGCCTTGGCTGGTTTGGCTCAGTGGATAGAGCATCAGCCTGCAGACTAAAGGGTCCCAGGTTTGATTCTGGTCAAGAACATGTATCTTGGTTGCAGGCACATCCCCAGTAGGAGGTGTGCCGGAGGCAGCTGATTAATGTTTCTCTCTCATCAGTGTTTCTAACTCTCTATCCTTCTCCCTTCCTTTCTGTAAAAAAAATAAAAAATAAAAAAATAAAATATATTTGTTTTTTTGTTTTTTTTAAAGAGGGAATACTAAATAAGCTAGAAATTACTGTTTCTGTCATTTCAGGATCATGATTTTGGCAGGAGACACGTTGCCCATTGAGGTATACTGCCATCTCCCAGTTATGTGTGAGGACCGGAATTTGCCCTATGTCTATATCCCTTCTAAGACGGTAGGCGCACCCTCAGCTCTGCTCTTGGTCAGCACTAGAGGAGAGGGTCTGGGATGGGGTCTCAGCAGCAGTCCGTAGTGGAAAGAGTGAACTTTGGAGTTAAGATGGGACTGAGTGGATTCTTAATTCAGCTGTTTCCTAAGTACGGGACTGCTGGTAAGTTATCTCTCAGCACTTATATTTCCTTGTAAAATGGGAATCCCCTCCTCTGTGGCCTATAAGAATGAATCAGTATACAGTAAGTGGACATGCTCTGTAAACAACATGCTGCACCCATGTTAGTCTTGTTAGGTGGGTGCAGTGCTTTAGAAGGGGTGTTTTAGCTGAAACCAGTTTGGCTCAGTGGATAGGGCGTCGGCCTGCGGACTAAAGGTTCCTGGGTTCAATCCCGGTCAAGGGTTGTGGGCACATCCCCAGTGCGGGGGGAGGGTACGGGAGGCAGCTGATCGATGTTACTCTCTCATCAATGTTTCTCTCTATCCCTCTCCCTTCCTCTCTGTAAAAAGTCAATAAAATATATATATATATATGTATATATTTTTAAATATATATTTTTTTTTATTTTTCTTTACAGAGAGGAAGGGAGATAGAAAGTCAGAAACACTGATGAGAGAGAAACATCCATCAGCCGCCTCCTGCACACCCCCCACTGGGGATGTACCCGCAACCCAGTTACATGCCCTTGACCAGAATCGAACCCGGGACCCTTCAGTCCACAGGCCAACGCTTTATCCACTGAGCCACACCGGTCCCGGCTCAATAAAATATATTTTTTAAAAAGAATGGAAGGCGTGTCTTATCCTCACATAGCAGGAGCCAGGTCTGGGGCACAGGGAGTGGGGGATGGCAGGAAACTGCCTAAGGGGACAGCCCCTGCTGGGCTGGAGCCCTTTCACAGTTGCCATGTGGGAATGTAGGCCCAGTGTTGCTAGACTATTTGAAAGTTTGCCGAGTTTAAATGATGGGAAGCAATTTTAACTGTTTTAAAATATGCTGCTGACAGAATAGCAATTAGGCCTGTGGGTCATAAGTTTGTGACTCTTTGGCATACAGGTTGTGTGGCCTTTTTTCCAAACAGGACCTGGGTGCAGCTGCAGGCTCCAAACGCCCCACCTGCGTGATAATGGTCAAGCCCCACGAGGAGTACCAGGAGACCTATGATGAATGCCTGGAGGAGGTGCAAGCCCTGCCCCCTCCCGTGTGAAGGACTTGGGCAGCAACCTGGGCACCTGTTCCAGAAGCTGTTGGGCTGGCAGGGAGCCAGCTGGCTGCCCTCTGCTGCTCACACTCACAGCATCTCCTAGTCTTCTGAGGCACGTATTTTTCCCAGGCAGCTCCAACAGCATCTTCTCCATCAGTGTTGTTTCCTGTTGAGTTTCTTGGCACTGTTTTAAGAATGAGGTGTGAAGGAAGTAAATGCTAAGACTAAAATGTGATGAATCTGTGGCTGTTTTTTTATTTTTCTTCTCTTTAAATATGTTTTTATTGATTTTAGAGAGAGGAAGAGGGAGAGAGAAAGAGAAACATTGATCAGTAGCTTCCTGTACACATCCCAACTGGGAATCAAATCCACAATCTGGGTATGCCCTGACCAGGACTTGAACCTGTGCAGGGACCTTTCGGTGCATGGGACGAAGGTCAACCAACTGAGCCACACCAGCCAGGGTTCTGTGGGTGTTTTTTAAAGCAGCAGCTGCTAGTGGAGCCAAGGAGTTAGTGGGCAGGAAAGAGTGAAGCAGCCTTTCTCACCAGAGGACCCCAGGACTTTAAGAGTGTTCATTGCTAATGCCTGGCTGCCAGGGCTGGTGCTGGACTCAAGCTGAGAACAAACTTTGCTGCTCACTCCCGAGCTTTCACATGGCTGGCATGATCCCACCAACAGCAGCAGCAGCCAGGCCACAGCAGTACCTGTGTGCAGTGGACATAATTGCAGCAAAGGAAGGAGAAGGCCTGTGAATATATTTGTTCAAAGTTATAAAAAAAAAATGGCATTCAGTTCTGTCCCAGAGTATTTACTGGTGGATGATGGATACAGTCAGTTGTAAGGCTGTACAGTGGGAGCAGTGGGTATGGTGTTGGTATGGTAGTAAGACCTGGCTGAGGGCAGAGATGAAAGACAGTTGCTGCCGCCATCCAAGTCCTGTGCTCCTCTGTCCATTGCTACTAAGTCAGTGGCAAACATAAACGGAGACAGCAGGAATACAGAGGCCAGCCTCTCCCTGCCCGTACAGTCAAGGCGCCAGCTGCCCAGTGCAGGTTGGTTCATCTCCCTCCTTGGCCCCTGCTGTGGCACTCAGGCAATTCTGAAATGAACCCAATCCACTCCAATGAGACAGCAAGTCTCGTGGGTGAAAAATCTCTTTAAATAAAGTTCCTTCCAGACAGGGGTCAGAATATGATGCGTTTCCCATCTGCTGGGTTCTGCTCCATGGGACAGTAGGGACACTTCAACCTGCAAAGGGGGGAGAACCAAGAATGACTGAGAGGTTGACTAGCAGGAGATCTAAGCCAAGCAGGAGCAGAGCACAGGGAACTTACTTTCCTCCATTAATGAGCTTGTTGAGTGCATCTCGGGAGATAACGTGGCCACAAATGAGCTTGATGGGAGGGTTGGAATCTGATGTTTGTTGGCGAAGGATGGGGCAGGCGAACACTGAGTGATACCAGCACTTCATGCCTAGTTCAATCTCAATCTGGGGAGGCCAGCCAAGGGATGAGTCCCACTTCCTGCCGTGGCTATCCCCAGTACCTTCTTCCCACACCTCCCTCAGCCAGGCTCACCGGTAACTCATCCTTGTGACTCCAGACCCCTGTGCACTGTCTCTGCTCAATCACAGCTTTGATGTTCATCAGCACGGGCAGTGCCACACAGCCAGAGGCAAAGCTGCAGAACAAAGAGCAAGGGCTAGCGTGGCCAGACCAAGACCCCAGCAGACATAAAGGATCTGCACACTTGCCATCAGCACTGGACTCGGGTCAGGGTTCTAACTTGGCATGTGGTTAAATCAGTCCTTGAGAATCAGGTTGCTTGCAAAGTGCCACATATGTAATTATGTGTCATTCTAATGCACCCTCAAACTTCAGAACATACAAGAGAGACAAAAGATTCAGGGGCAGTTATCTGCTCATGCATACCACTGAAAAGTCCTTGGTGTGATGAGGACTGATCACTCTGCTGTCATAATGCACCCCTATAACTGGTTATCAACTGGGGCACTTGGAAACGGGACAGATTTAGACCTCACCATGTCTGGGTGGGCATAGGAGCGAACCGGCTGGAGCCTTGGGTGCTAAATGACTATGGTATAGAGGGCTGTTGTGCTGTGTGAGCAGTAGGTGGTGCTCCTGCTGGGAAATACTGTCCTATAATCAGAGTCTACCACACAGTGGAGCATGAGATTCCACAGTCAAGTAAGGGCACCATGACACTATCCACTATGGTGTAGTGAGTGGCTCTGGGTCAGGTCCATGTGCCCTTTAAGTTAATTCATGTCTGGAGCCTCTGTTTTCTCTGTAAAGTGAGTACCTCTAATCCTAGATCACTGAGGAGTTATGGGAAGAGCATTATTGTACAGGAGCCTTCGAGTGAAAACTCTCAAAACCTGTAACTCTGTTACTAAGACCTACTAGAGAGGAAGTGGTATTTGACAGATGAGGCTGAGAGAAGGCCAGTGTGAAAAGTCTTGTGATATCCAGCAGTGAGGTGCAGGCAAAATGGGGACCTCATTCAAGAGGCCTTACAAAATAGGAACCTTGACCCTGCTACTAACCTCATGGTGTCCTTGGACCATAACTCTTCCTAATCTCAGTTTCTCCAACTGTGGACACAAGTAGTTTCTATCTGGAAGATGGACTTAGAGAGCCAGTTTAGGTCTGTCCCTGGCACATGACCCAGCCTCGGCAAATTGTTTCCCTAGAAATCCAACCAGTCATGCTGCCCTGTCCACAGGGCTGGCTTACCTGACACTGAGGGGTGACTCCACAGAAAGCCCCAGCAGGGAACAAGCATCTCGGGTAAAGGTCTCACAGATCTCAGCCCAGTGGCTGGTGTCCAGGAGGTGGCAGTAGGGCGACTTCTCCAAGCCCAGTCGCAGGTATACCAGGCTGCCCATCATCACCTGGATCTCTGCAAGGCAACCAGGCGCAGCTCAGCTCGTGCAGGACCAGGGCACAGGAGGCAGCCGCTCCTCAGGGCTGGGTGCCCAGCCCCAGGGACAGTGTGGCTGTGGAAGCAGGATGGGGAGCAAGCTGAACACCAAGGCTCTGAGGTGCCCAGCCTGGCCAGGCAGGGACTGAAATGTCTTCAGGTAAAAGTGGTTTTCCCTAAAACCCAATGGACTATTTATGTGGGAGTAGGACAGGCATCAATCACCCTGTGCATCAGGAAGGAGGAGTCCTGGTTTTCTTCTCATCCTTCAACTGCATCAGGGAACGAACCTCAAATCTTGAGGTGGCACGGACATCTATTTTAGAACACTAGCTAATACCTCTTTCTAAAAAAACCTTTCAAGAGGCATCTAGCTAAAATTTAATAACACTGATTGGTTTTCATGTTTATCTTTCAGTAAAATGTGAAGTAGTAAATATGAAGGGAGCTAAAGAAACAATACTAGCTGTATGGTGGTTACTGATGGGGAACATCTGGAAGGTAAAATAAATGCCTATGGTTGAGGTTGAGAAATCCACATGTGAAGGAAGAGGGCTCAGGCAGGGACCTGCAGAGGAGGTGCTGAGGCACAGCAGCATGAGGGCAGGCGTGACGTGGCATACATAAACCCAGTATGATGTGTGTGTGGGTATCGCAAAAGCTGGTGTTGGGGACCGGAGGCGGTTCTGAGATGAAGCTAGAAGGGTGTGACAGAGACAGTGAGGAAGAGCCTTGGGTTTGGAGTTCACCTTGGAGACAGTGAAGGAGGGGTCAGAGTTCTCAGGGTAGAGCAGACCCTGGTTAAATGCTGACATCTGCCAGAGCCCAGCAGCATCTACTACCCTGGGCACTTACCCCGCTGGTGCAGCCGAGCAAAGGGCTGGAAGTGCCTGGCATAGCTGAGGGCCTCCAGCTGCTTGTCAGGGCCACCAGCCAGGAGGTGGATAAAGTACAGTCGGTGCAGCTTGAACTCCAGCGAGCTGTTAAGCTCAAGCAGACGCTGCCTGTGGGAGATGGCCCATCTGGAAAGAAAGGGGCCGGTTGGGTATGGAGCTGGTGGGATGAAAAAAGGAGTCCCGAGGGAGCTGGGACAGAGGGGTGGGATCCAAAAGCCTATGTGAGGCCACAAGACAGAGCTGGAGATATGTCAAGAGGTGAAGACCACAGACAAGCCCTGCCCCCTGCTGTCCCACCCAAGGCCCACTTACTCCAATGCCGGTCCCAGGTCATGTTTGTGCAGAGCTTCCAGTATTCGATTCAACTCCAGGAAAGGCTGCTTGAAATCCAAGTCCACGTTCAGTGTAGATTCCTGTGGGGAGAGCATGATCCATCATTGGAGAACACTGTTTCCAAAATTCTGCTCTAATAAAACCTCATCTGTCTAAGACAGGCAGGAGACCTTGCATGAGGAGCTGTGAAGGAGCTGTGAAGTCCTGCCAACCACTTGGCCCCTCTTATTTTCAATTCGGTTTTGGGGAGACTATAACCTCACCCAGGTGATGGAGACAGTCCCCCCAGTCCCTGTATGAGTAGCATGGTGAGAAATTATTCCTTTTCAATCCTCTTAATGATTTTAAGAGAAAGGATACTTTACTTTTACTGCCAGTGTGCTTTAACACCTGACAGTGCTACTCTGTCATTTTAAGAAACTAACCACTTTACTAGACCCCCTTGACTCAGAACCCTGCCTGGCAACTAACCCTACTTAGAAATTAATGATTTCGCTTTTCACTGTATCTATTTTTTTTTAATTAATTGATTGATTTTTAGAGAGACGGAGGGAGAGAGACATCAATTTGTTGTTCCACTTATTTATGCATTCATTGGTTGATTGTTATATGTGCCCTGACCAGGGGTCAAACCTGCAACCTTGGTATATTGGGAAAACGCTCTCTAACCAACTAAGCTACCTGGCCAGGGCTCACCGAGCTCCCTTCTATTTATGGCAGGACACTGATTTCCTTTCTAATATAAATTTATTTCAATAATAACAGGAATGTATTATAAAAAATGATTGAGCTGAAACAGATTTGGTTCAGTGGATAGAAAGTTCCTGCGGACTGAAAGGTTCCGGGTTCGATTCCGGGCAAGGGCATGTACCTTGGTTGTGGCCACATCCCCAGTAGGGGGTGTGCTAGAAGCAGCTGGTCAATGATTCTCTCTCATCGATGTTTCTAACTCTCTATCTCTCATTGATGTTTCTAACTCTCTATCCCTCTCTCTTCCTCTCTGTAAAAAATCAATAAAATATATATATATATTTTTTAAATGATTGAGTAGAAAACAGAATAGACAGGTCCCAGCACCTTCCCCACCGAGCCATTACCTGGCACAGCTCCTCAGCCACGCTGAGCATGCCCTGCTGGTACAGGTGCTCCACGATGGCCATCTGCAGGGTCTGCTGCTGCTTCTCCCGGGAGTCCCACACTGCATCGGAGACTACACCGCACACCTCAGAGTCAAAGTTCTGACAAGGACAAGAGATAGGGCCCTGTGACTCGACACTCGCATTCCTCACACTTGCTTTCCTGATAAGCCCTGGGACATACCAACTCCAGGTATCCCTGTCCCCGCTCCAGGTGCCCACATGCTCACCCTGTCAATGGCTTTGCCCACTCGGGAGACACTGCTGTGAATGTCCTTGTGGTCCGAAGCCAGTTTCTGCACGGTGTCTTTGATCTTCCGGCAACACTGGGACATCACCAAGGAGAGGGTGGCTGAGAGAGGGGTTCCCTGGAGAGCTGCAGAGAAACACTAGCAGTGAGTCAGGACACAGGAACAGAACTTGTCCCTGCTTCCTCTCCCCACAGAGGCCCAGGAGGCAGCCCTGAACTCCAGAGTGTCTCAGCTTCTTGCTCTAGCTGGTTTGGCTCAGTGGATAAGAGCCTCAGCCTGCGTAATGAAAGGGTCCCGGGTTTTATTCTGGTCAAGGGCACGTGCCTGGGTTATAGGCTCAATCCCCAATAGGGGGCATGCAGGAGGCAGCTAATCAATAATTCTCTCTCATCTTTAGCTCTCTCCAGCCTCTCCCTTTCCCTTCCTCTCTGAAACCAATAAAATATATTTGAACCGAAACCGGTTTGGCTCAGTGGATAGAGCGTCAACCTGCGGACTGAAGGGTCCCAGGTTTGATTCAGGTCAAGGGCATGTACCTTGGTTGCGGGCACATTCCCAGCAGGGGGTGTGCAAGAGGCAGCTGATAAATGATTCTCGCTCGTTGATGTTTCTAACTCTCTATCCCTCTCTCTTCCTTTCTGTAAAAAAAAAAAATCAATAAAATATATTATAAAAAAAAAAAGAAAAAAGATTCAGCTTTTGTTTCAGGTCCTGTCAATTTTAAACTGCATGACTTCAGCCGAAACCGGTTTGGCTCAATGGATAGAGCGTCGGCTTGGGGACTGACAGGTCCTGGGTTCGATTCCGGTCAAGGGCATGTACCTTGGTTGTGGGCACATCCCCAGCAGGGGGTGTGCAAGAGGCAGCTGATCGATGACTCTCTCTCACCATCGATGTTTCTAACTCTCTATCTCTCTCCCTTCCTCTCTGTACAAAATCAATAAAATACATTAAAAAATAAATAAATAAAAATAAAAAAATAAACTGCATGACTTCATTTGCCTTCATTTCCTCATCTATAAAATGGGGGAAATAGCACCAGTTGTAGGTTGCTAAGAACTGAAGATGATTTGGCACTTACTATGGGTGATTTGGCACAGGTTGAGAACCGCTAGCAGGGTCGCCTAAGACCATCGGAAAACACATATTTACATTACGATTCATAACAGTGGCAAAATTACAGTTATGAAGTAGCAATGAAAATAATGTTATGGTTGGGGATCACCACAACATGAGGAACTGTATTAAAGGGTCGCGGCATTAGAAAGGTTGAGAACCACTGCTTTAAAGGGTTGTGTTATTGTGGGGTTTTTTTATGTGAATCAACTCAATTTTTTTTAAAGAAAAGGACATAGAAACTAGGGAATACCTCTGGGCAAATCTAACACAATTTGAGCATCAAAATGTATAACAATAATGTAATATAACCCATTGAATAAGAAGTTCTGAGTGAGAACTAATACTAAATATATATATGGGAGAAGGGAAAGTTTTTTCCTTATAGTTGAATGCCAAGGAATAAATATATGAGGAATGACAGAGCAGGAAAAGTCACCCTGTTACTAAGTAGTTTTGGGGTATCCTAGGCCCACAGAAAGGCAGGAGTGGGGCTCTGGGGTTGAGGGGCGATGGACACCCACCTGCACTGGCCAGCTCAGCCCGCAGCTGTCCTACGTAACGCAGCAGCTCCTCCAGGCTCTGCTCGCAGTGCTGCCCGTAGGTCAGGAACTTCTGTAGGACCTTGTCCACCTCTCTCTCCACGCTCTCACACGGCTCCATGGTGGCCTCCGCCTGGGGGCAGGAGGAGGGTCCAGTGTCAAGTCCCACCTGGGAGACACAGTGGTGAGGGCTCCCGGATTCCCTTACCACACCCATATCATATGTCAATGCTCAAAACTGCCCAGTGTAACATATCTGTCCACAGCTTCGTCAGCCCTAGCCAGGGTGCCTAGTGGAGTGTGCAGGCAGGTGTGAGGGCAGAGGTTTTTTGTCTCATGGTGAGAAAACTCTGTTTCCAACTCTTTTCACTCTCCAATCCTTGCTCATCCTCTCTCTCTCTCTCCCTTTTTTAATGTTTTTACAGAGAGAGAAAGAAGAAAGAGAGAGAGAGAGAGAGAGAGATCTATGAGAGACAAACAGCAATCAGCTGCCTCCTGCACGCCCCTTATTGGGGATTAAACCTGAAATCCGGGAAAGTGACCTGACCAGAATGGAAAAGGTGAGCCCCTATGGTTCAAAGGTCAATGCCACACCAGCTGGGCCACAGCCTTCTTTCTCTTCCTTGACTACATTCACTTTATTTCTTCCTCAGGGCCTTTGCACTGGCTGTTCCCTCTGCCTGAACAGTCTTCTCCCAAATCTTTTCCATGTTTGGCTCCTTCAAGTCTCAAACTTCATCCCTTCAGCTATGGTCTCCTAGACCCAGTACTCCTCTGCCCCACCCCCACACTGTTCACTCTATCATATCACTCTTTTCCTTACAGATCTCTGTACACACACATTTTTATTTATTTCAGAGAGGAAAGGAGAGGGAGGAGAAATAGAAACATCAATAAGAGAGAATCATTAGTCAGCTGCCTCCAGTACGCTCCCTACATGTGCACTGACTGGGAAACGAACCTGGGACCCTTCAGTCCGCAAGCCGACGCTCTACCCACTGAGCCAAACCCGCTAGGGCTGGTTGAAGTTTCCATCTTTCTTTTGTCATTAACCAAAATTGAGGGGACATAAAGGCCCACTATTTTCCCTGGAATACAGAGGGGCACAGAGGAATTTGGGGGGGATGCCGGAACTATTTCATATCTGGGAGTTTCACATGCCTTGACGCAAATGACTGTCAAACTCTTGCTCATGCTCCAGAAGACCCTGACCTAACGCCCTGCCTGGCGCCCTCATCCCAGCCGGGTCGCACTAGGACGGAATGTCTGAGTTCGAGCGATTCCCCCGACAGAAGCGATTCTTTGCGTGTCCTGGGAGTCTGTGGGGCTTCCGTTCTCAGCCGGGGCCCACGACTCCGAAGCAAACAAGTCCAAGGGCGGACCGGGACGGAGACTTAGTCGGGGGGGAGGGGGGGGTTCGGGTAGGCCCGAGGCCTGGGAGCCCGGCCGAGCTGCCGTCCGCCGGGCCCCCCGCGCCTGCCCTCGGCTTGCACCTCCACACCCCGGCTCTCACCTGCTGCTGCAGCCCGGCCCCGGCTTCCGGCGCTGCTGTCATCGGACCGGAAGCCGCGGCGGTTGCTCCGCGGATCCGGACTCGCCCACTCGCAGCTTCGCGGAGGGGTGTCTGCGCCTGTGCTCCCGGCCCACCTTCCCGCGCGCCCGGAGTGGACTCGCCCACAGACGCGGGCGAAGGCGGGAAGCCGCGCCCCCTCCGCCCGGCGGACGCCGGAGCCTGTGCCCGAGGCTGCCGCTGGGCCACGACCCTCCGCGTCTGGGAGTTGGACCAGGAAGGGGTCGGACCCACCCGCTCTCTGGCCCGGAAGGTGTGGGGGTGCATGGGGCGGGCGGGGCGGCTTCCCTACGGGGAAGAAGCTCCTGGCCCGCCCTCCCGCCACAAGTCGGTCCCAGCGTCCCGCTTCGCGCTCTGAAGCCCTAAACCGATGACTGTTCCACTCCGCCCTCACCCAAAGGAGACTGCCCCCGCCCCCGCAAGGGTCCGACAGGCTCCCCCGCTAGGGCTCCTGGATGCTCTTTTTGACACATCAAATGATGTATAAAAGAAAAGTCACTTTTTTCCCTGTCCCTAAGTCAGTACCTAACCTGGATAAGTCAGTACTTATCCATTGGGCATTCAATAAGAGGACCAGACTGCTGGGGTGAGAGTACCCAGTCCCTGCTCTGCCGCCCCCCAGCCGTTGTCCCGCCTGGGCGAACAGGGAGTGGGTGGGGTGGGGTGGGGAGACCGGGTTGCACAACTGTTCTGAAGAGGAAGGGTGACCCCAAACCCAGGCCTGGACTGAATTCACACTCCTCCCAGAGCAAGGGGCCGCGCAGAGGAACCGCCCACCCCCCCACAAGCCTTAGAGCCTGAGCGAGAAAAGAGCCCCAGCCCAGCCGGGGTGGCTCCGTCGTTGAGCGGCGACCTATGAACCTGGAGGTCACGGTTGGATTCCTGGTCAGGGCACACCCCTGGGTTGCGGGCTCAATCCCCAAGTAGGGGGCGTGGAGGAAGCAGCCAATCAATGGCTCTTTTTCATCCTTGTTTCTTTGTCCTCTCTCTAAAATAAAGGAATAAAAACCGCCCAAGAGAAAAGACTTGGTCCTGACTTTCTGCTCCCTTTCCGTGTCAGTTTCATTCCAGGGCAACCTCCCCCTTCCACCCTCCAGGCCTCCTTCCCAACCTTCACCCCAACCACCCTTGCACAATCTTGTTTGTTTTCTGTATAGCACTTGCACAAACCAGTTTTGTTTTGTTTTTTTTAAATAGCATTTGACTTAAAATTATCTTACGTGTTTGTTTATTCTGTCTTTCGGCCCCTAACACCCCTCCTCTTAAGAATAAAAGCCTCATTTGAACCAGGACTTGATACTCAGTACTGCTGTATCCCCAACACCATGTACTAGGAACACCTTAAGCTCAGAAATACTCTGAGGTACCTAATACCCTCCAATGACTCCAAAACCTTCTGCAACACGCAGAGAAGGGGCAGGCCAGAGCCCCATATCCTGCCAAATCCGGTCTGTGCACACCGAGCCTGGGTGGTCATGGCCCACCCGAGCTTGGGGGCGGAGAGCTGAGTGAGCCTAGCCTGTGGCCAAGCGCTGAGGCCAGGGCCGCCTCCGCCTGGGAGCTGACGGGACCCCACCGGTTTTCCAGGGCGCCCCAGGCTTTCCCACTTCCTCTGGAGGAGCCAGACTGGACCTGCCAGCTAGGCTAGGTCTGAGCAAAGCCCAGCTTCTGTGAGGACTTTGAATGCCAAGCCGACACCTCAGGCAGTTTCCCCTTTGTCATTGCTTCCCCAGGATGTGGTTCTCCTTGCATTTCTGTTTTGTCACTTGACAGTGTGCACCAAGTTTTATTACGTAGTTGATTTTGTCTATTTTACCCCTTGGGATTGTGTTTGTTTTTGTTGGGAGAAGGGGCTGCTTCAGAGCAGAAAAACAGCTGTTCTCCACCAATTCAATAATAGTCTAGTTTCCTAGGATTTATTTTTGAAAATTTAACTCTTTGGTACAACCCCCCAGGCCTCCTCCCCAATGTACATGTCCATTTCATTTTGCACGTGGAAGTGCAACATCTGACAATGTTTTCCCATATTTTTGTCCAGTTATCACAGCACCTCTTACTAAATAAGCCTTCTTACCGTCTCATTTTGAAGCCCTTCATCATCATATTAGAATTTTCTGCAATATGGAATCTATTTCTGGCTCCTCATTCTTTCCATTGAAGCGGTTTTATTTTTACATCAATGTTATATAGTTTTACTTGCTACTTTTGTAACATGTTCTAATGTGTGGGGGGATTAAATAAGGCTCACAAAAAGTGGGGGGAACTGAAACCGGTTTGGCTCAATGGATAGAGCATCGGCTTGGGGACTGAAAGGTCCTGGGTTCATTCCGGTCAAGGGCATGTACGTTGGTTGTGGGCATATCCCCAGTAGGGGGTGTGCAAGAGGCACTGATTGATGACTCTCTCATCGATGTTTCTAACTCTCTGTCTCTCTCCCTTCCTCTCTGTAAAAAAATCAATAAAAAATAAATAAATAAAAGTGTGGGGTGGGGGACAGAAGGTAATTAAGAAAGCAGGTCACTGGTTGCCCAGGGGCAGAGGTTAAGGGCTGACTACATAGGAGCACAGAGGAACTGGGGAGGGGAAGGGGTGATGCCGCAACTATTTCAGATCTTAATTGTAGGGTTATACAACTTTGCATTTGCCAAAGCTCTAAAAACTGAACTCTAAAAAAGTTGAGTTTTCCTGTATGTATATTATACCTTAAAATGGGAGAAGGGAAACAGATACACAAAGAACACACTAGATAAATCCTTTAAAAAAAAAAAGTTTCTTGACCTAGATGGCAAGCCCTGGAATGCTCTGCTGAAAATACAGCCTTCCTTCCCCTGCGAGCTGGTGGTGGCAGCAGGGGTGATGCACCCACTGCCTGCCCTCTGAAGAACCTGGGAGCCTCAGGTTTCACCCCATGGAGCTCAAGCTGCCTGCTCAGGCCATCTCTTCCTTCCACCCTCCAGGCGGCTCCCAACAAGTCTCCGCTTCTTCTCCCGGTTCCTGCCCCTCCTTGCAAGGCTTTGGTTCAGGCCAGGAGTGGCTACATCATTTGCAGGCCCCAGAGCACAATGAAAACATGAGGCCTCCTGTTCAAACATCATTAAGAAGTTCAAGATGGCAATAGCAGAGCATTGCCCTTCTGTGTGTGGGACCCTGCATGACCACACAGGTCACACACACATCCTGGTTCTGGCCCTTCCCTTTGGCTGCGGTTGGGACCCACCCACAGCCACAGGAAATGAGGGCTTCCTATGTCAGACAGAACCCTCCCCCAGGCCTGCCCCACGCTTCCCTGTGTCCAAGTCCAGGCCTGTCCTAGATGCCCTCATCCAATGATGCTCCTGAGGAAACCCCAACTCCCCTCTTCAGAGAAGCTTACCCTGTTAAAGAAAAAAACAAAAGCACTGGCCAGTGTTCTCAATGGTTAGGGTACTGGCCTGAGCACCAAGTGGTCACGGGTTCGATTCCTGGTCAAGGGCACATACTTGGGTTGCAACCAATCGATGTCTCTCTCACATCTATTTTTCTCTTTCTCTCCCTCCCCCTCCCACTATTTCACTATCTCAAAAAAGTCAATGGAAAAAATATCCTTGGGTGAGGATTAACAAAACAAAAAAAAAGGAGGGGGAATAAAGAAAAACATTTACTCATGACACTTGTTAGAATGGTAAGGAAGTCTTTATTCAAGAAGGACTACAGCGATGGAGATTTATAGTATGGGACAGAGAGTGGGCTCAACTCCAAACACAATAAGGAAAAGTAGCATTTATGGCCAAGGACCAGGCTGGGGTCAGTGGGTGGAAAGTTACTAAGCCCGGCTGGCGAGGCTTAGTGGTTGACAGTCTCGACCTATGAACCAGGAGATGAAGGTTTGATTCCCGGTCAGGGCACAGGCCAGGGTTCCAGGCTTGATCCCCAATGGGGGTATATGCAGCAGGCAGCCAATCAATGATAGTCTCTCCTCATTGATGTTTCCATCTCTCTCTCCCTCTTCTTTCCTCTCTGAAATCAATAAAAATATATGTTTTAAAAAGAAAAGAAAATTAATATGAGAAAACCTCAGGAGTAGAGGGCATTCTGGCTAAATAGACCACAGGATTCTCACTGAAGGCAGGCCAGTGACCCGTGGAGGAGGAGAAACCAAATTAAATGTGCAGGGGAATCTAGTATAGAGGATGGGCAATTCTGGCTAAACTAAGGATTCTTGCTAGAGATGGACTGAACAAGAAAGGACACCTTCCAAGATCAGGCCTCGTCAAAAAGAGCTCAGAGGAGCCTCACAAGCCCTGGCTGTTGGTTTGGTTTCATCCATGCACCAAACAGTTGGGATGGATTTCCAGCAGGGGGCGTGCAGGAGGCAGCCATTCAAGGTTTTTTTGTTGTTAATCCTCACCAGAGGATATTTTTTCCCTCCATGTCGTGCTATCACATGGATGTTACTCTCTCTTCCTTCCTCTCTCTAAAAAAAAAAAAATTAATTAAAATAGCTTAACCAAAGTTTGGTCAACCTTTATCACCCCACTCCAGCACCTGGATAAGTGAGCCCACTTCTCTGAACTCCCACGCCACTCCCACCTCCTCTCACGTGACATATTTCACTTTTGTTGTAGGAAACCACACATTCTTTTTCTTTCCTGAATCCAGTATAATGGGTGAAGCCTGGCCCCACAAGGTGATGGATTGTCACCGTGGGCCTGCATCGTCTGCGGAGACAGGATCACTATACCTACAGCCTCAGCCCGTCTCAGAAATTTCCTCTCACGCTCTTTCTGCCTGCCTCCTTCACTCTCTGACTTGATCGCTACATCTGCACTGTCCTGGCTCCTGACTGGCTCTGTCACTACATGGCCATGTGTGTTGTCTCCTTCCTCCGCCCACCGGGGAAAGGGCCAAGAAGGCAGAGGCCATGGCCACATCGGATTCCTCACCTGGGAACCACGCCAGGCCCTGAGGGAGGCAGCGACACATCACTGTGCAGTGAGTGGCACCTAGCTCCGGCACCCTGGAGCTTGACAAACCTGGTTCACATCTGATGCCCATGGGGGAATGAACACTCAGAGCAGGAATCTTTCCCACCAGCTCAAACCCATGTCCGTCAGGGGAGGGGTCTGGTCCTTCTGGACTCCAAAGCTCCCCAGCGCTTTCTGGGGTTGGAGCAGAACGGCTCTAGGGATAAAAACAGGACATGAGCCCAGCCGGTTACGATTTGATTCCTGGTTAGGGCACATGCGCAGGTTGCAAACTCAATCCTCAGTGTGAGACATGCAGAAGGCAGCCAATCAATGATTCACTCTCATCATTGATGCTTCTATCTCTCTCCCTCTCCCTCTCTGAAATCAATAAAAAATATATTATAAAACAAACAACAAAAACAAGACATAGCTCTGGCTGGGCAAGGCCCACAGTCCAGAGATGAAGGGACAATCCCAGCAGCATAGAAAGAGCTGGTGGAGAGGCATGTGAGAGCTATGGGCACAGGGAAGTGGATTGCCCTGACTTCAGAAAAGGCTTCCCTGTCCAGCCGATGTGGCTCAGTGGTTAAGCGTCCACCTTTGAGCCAAGTCACGGTTCAATTCCTGGTCAGGGCATGATTCCCAGTGGGGGGTGTGCAGGATACAGCTGCTCAATGATTCTCTCTCATTATTGATATTTCTATCTCCCTCTCTGAAATCAATAAAAATAAAATATTTTTAAAAAAGAAAAAAGGCTTCCTTGATGAGACAAGATGTGAGCACAGTGAGGGGGCTTTGCCTAGAGAAGGAAGGCCCAGAGGGCTGCTGGATCTGAAGGGGCACCCCTATCTCAGGGGGATAGACTGCCAGAGGCTTCAAGTGACAGGCTTAGGGGCCCAGGGAGCATGACACCATCTGAGCTGAGAAAAGGAGGGACCAGGGGTAGGGAGCCCAGAGTGGGGCTCACCACAGTTCTGAAGAATTGGCTGTCTGTGCCTATTCTGCTGGTGGAGGGGGCTCCGGGGGCCTGCAGGGGCAGGAGGGAAGAGCTGCCCTGAAGCAGCAGCCACTACAGGGGCACCTGTAATTGTCTGGCCCCAGAGCCCTAGAGCCACCAAGCTGGCTTGGGGACTCCGAACTGGTTTGCCAGGCAGGGATGAGCTAATAGGGATCAAGTTTCCTCTGAGACACCTCAGCTTGGCTCCCTTGAGCCCTCCCCCTGCATCTGGGCCTGGTCTTGGTTTCTGGCATAGCTGCCAAGTTTTGGTACCGCCCACCCACTCCCCACTGGCAGTACTGGCAGGCCCAGCTCTCTAATTGTAGGGTGAGGAGCTGTTCTGCAGAGGTGGTACATGGAAAAGTGGACCCTGGCCATTGCAGGGCATGCGGGCACCCAGCCCAACTAGCTCCAGGCCCTGAGGAGGGAGTGGCCCCGACTTCAGGCCAGCACTCAGCTGCGGGGGCAGAGGGGGCCCGCCTGAGGGCCACTGGCCCAGAAACCTTGGATTGGGAGGGTCTGAAATGGATACTAAGGCCTGTGAGGAACTGACCCAGGTGTTCCCTCTCCCTCCCCAGGCTGAGGGGTGGGCCTAGATGGGTCTTAGCTAGGCCCGGGGGTCTGCCCTGGACACAGGTTCCACTAGCTAAAGGGACTGGAGCCAGGGGGCAAGTAATGGAGCAGAGGGAGTGGCCGGAAGCAGCCCAGAAGCCCCAAACACACCCCCTCAGACACACCTACCGCCCACAGCACATCTCTACACACACCTGCCACTGACAGGGCCAGACACACCATCCCCTTGGCAGTCAATTCACACACCCCTCTCCACCCTGAAAAGGCAGGGCACACTGGCTCACACTCTACAGCCCTATCCACACCCCATGCACAGGCCCCACCTGCTGGGGCCTCAGCGGCTGCCAGGCTTGGCGAGGAGGGCAGGGCACGGCCACTGGGAGCAAACTGGGGAATCTCTGCTGAGAAGTGCCTGCCCCACCAGCAGACACTGGGAGGGGAGAAGTCTCTGTGTGCTGCTTCCCCTGGGGCAGAAAGATTCAAGCCTGAGCCCCCATGCCCTGGCAGCCTAACTGCCTGGCAGAGGGGAAGCCCTCAATGCATGCCAGCAGTCACAATGATTCACCTGTAAGGGCGCCGAGCTTCACTACAAGGGCAAGGGGTGGGGAGATGCTACCTGCACAGCCAGTCTGGCTCTGTGCACCATGCCACCCTCCGGGAGGGAGCAAAGGCCCAGAGAGGAAGCCAGGTCTCTGAGAGGCAGGGGCTGCTTCCCAGAACACAAATGAGCTCCTATTTCACCCCTGCTTAAAAATTTTCCAGGGTCCTCCATGCCTATGGGGAAATGTCCACGTTCCTTGCAGTGGCAAAGGCTCATTACCCACTGACACCCAAGCTTTCTCTGCCTGTCTCCCGCACCTTCCCAAAGCCCCATCCCTATGGAGGGGGGTGGGGGGGTGAACCACTGCCAGACAGGAAGGTGAGAGGTGGGTTCTGGGAGGGACAGGTCCCTACAGGAGCCTTAGGGAGCGCCAGAAGAGGCAGTCTCAGGCTAGCCCTAAACCCAGCAGGGGCCTGGGCACGGGGGCTGACTTTCCACCGAGAGGTTTCATGTTCTAGCAACGCCTTGGGTGACTTGCCCTTTTGTTTTCCCGGGTTCCCTGGCATCGTTCCTTCAGAAAAATCCCACTGGTGCTGAAGAAAGGAATTTCAGCCCACACGGCAGCTACGGAACCATGTGGCGCTGGGGCAAGGAGGAGGACTCCTCCACTTGCCAACACACGGGCCCAGCAGCTGTGCACACAGGAACGGGGTACAACCTCCCACGAACCAGGACTCTGGAGGAGCTATAGTCCAGGTCCACAGTCCCCTAACCCCAACCACGCTTGATCTAGGCCGGGGACAGGCCCAACGTATCACCAAGGGCCTCCTATAGAAAACGTGCTTTTATTCCGGGGGAGGCCAATGTTATCTTCCCAGCCTTCCTCCCTCACGCCTGCCCATCTACATCTTGAGCGCCTTATCTCCCAGTCTCCCTCTCCTAGGGCCACACCTACCCCAGGAGCAGGCTGGGCCCTGCAGGGGCCTGGCTCCTGCTGCTGGCACCCTCCCCAGCCCACAGCCCCACCGGGATCCCTCCTCTCGGTGATCCTCCCCGCCCCTGGCTGGCTTCGTCAGATCCTGCCCCAGATCAATGTCTGGAAGGAGCCGGCTGTCTCAGGGAGGGCTTGCCCAAGCCTTCTTCTGGCAGTGCTTCTGCCGTCAGCTCTCTCCACGGGCCTCAGATCTTGGAGGACTCAAGCCGAGGACTCCAGGGCGCGGAGGGCTCCCGCAGCGCCTGCAGTTCCTGTTCCAGCGCCTGGTTGCGGCGGTACATGTCCATGTAGCCCCCCTGGATCTCCCGCTGGTAGCGCAGCACCCGCTCCTTCTCCTCCTGCCAGGTCCGCCGCTCCTGCTCGAAGCGCAGCGCCTGCTCTTGGCCCCGGAGTCGCTCCTGCAGCAGCTCGGCCCGCAGCTGCTCGGCGGCACCGTCCCCGGCCTCACCGCCTCCCGCCTCGCCCAGCAGCCCCCGGCTCTTGCAGTCATCGGTCTCACAACTCCCTGGGGCCTCCTCCCGGGGGGCCCGCTCCTGCAGGCTCCGCACAGCCTCCCGCAGCCGGGCCAGCTCCGCGTCCTGGGCCTGGGCCTGTGCCCGGCTGCCCCGGAGTTGTGTCTTTAGGCTGAAGATCTCGGCCAGCTTCTGTGCCAGCTCGGCCTGGGCCTCCCGCAGCTGCTGCTTCAGGAGGCTGATCTCCGCCGTCTTCTGGCACACCTGGAAGGGGCGCGGGAGAGGCGGGCGCCAAGCAAAGCTGGGTCAGGGGGCTGGGCTGAGGGTGGGCAGAGGAGGGGGCTGCAGAAACGGGGGACAGGAGAGTTCCCGAGAGCCCGGTCTCTCACCTCCCACCGCGCTTCCTCCTCCGGCCGAGTGTTGGGGTCCGCCTCTGGCGGCCGATGCTCGGTGGCCAGGCCCTGCTGGGCCCGCAGCTCCTTGCGCAGGCGCCGCTGCTCCTGCTGGGCCATGAACAGCTGCAGCTGGAGGTTCCGCTCGCTGCGCTCGGCCTTCTGGGCCACCTCGTGCAGCCGCTCCAGGTACAGGCGCTTCAGCTCAGACAGCCACAGACGCTGGCGTTCCTCCAGCACCTGCCAGGGGAAAGAGGCACCGGGTAGCCGCAGACGACGTCCTGTCCCGAAAACCACAGGACCAGGGCCCACCGCCCTGGCCACTCGTGCCCTACCCTGGGATGCCCTCCAGAGGGGAAGTGTCTCCCACATATTCCCGCCCTCCCCTCCCCAAGGCATCTCTCCCTCCCTTTTATACAGCCCCAGCAAGAACCAGGAGTGACCCACATCCCACCACGTGGGGGAGGGGGAGAGGAGCTGATGCATCTCCTTCTTCCTCTCGTGTCCAGAGAGTCACATGGGGGAACGGGCTGAGGACCCTGCCCGGTACACCAATGCCAAGGGACCCCAGGACCCGGTACACTAATGCAGGACCCCAGGCAGAGGCTGCCCTCACCTGCGTGAAGTGATTGGCGCCGTCCTGGTCACTGAGGCCTCTCTTCAGGTCCTCACAGGTGTCGGGGAGCATGGCCACCACCTCGTCGGCAGTGTGGCATGAGAGCTCATAGGGCGGCGGGGGCTCAGGCAGGCAGCTCAACCCGGCCAGCGGCCCAGCCTCCTTTGGGCTCCGAGAGGCGCGATCCAGGGAACCCCCGAGGTGATTGATGTGGCCCAAGGAGGAGCTGAAGGGGCCGGGGCCCATGCCGGGACTTCGGCTAAAGCTGCCCCCGCTGGAGGAGTCGGACAGGCTGGGCTCGGGTTCGGGGCCCCCCTCGTCCAGGCTGAGGGCGTGCAGCAGCTGGGCACGGGCCTGTGCCTGGCTGGCCCGGGGCCCCGGGCTCAGGGGCGGGTGGCAGGCCAGCGTGTGCAGACTGCCGTTGCTGCGCCACAGCTTCTGGCCCTTGTGGGCCGCCAGGCTCTGCATGGACAGGAAGCCTTTCCCGGTGCCCGCCACGGGCTTGAACACCGACGGGCGAATACGGCACTGCCAGGAAGAGAGGGCAGGGTAAAGCCCTGGGCTAGCAGCACAGCCTTACGGTGCTCCCACAGCCCTGGGGGTCCTTTCAGACATGCTGTGCCTGCCACTGGGAAGCAGTGACCAGGCTAGTCCATGGCAGGACTTTCAGGGCCAAGCCCTGTCCCAGCGCCGAGGTCTCCAAGGAGGCCCCAAGCTCCCCATCCCACCCTCCCACCCTAGGGAGGGGTTTGGGCAGAGGTGCACCTTGTCAAAACGTCCCCGCTCGGGCAGCGAGGTCTTGCTGAAGTCACCAGCCCGGGGATGTTCCTGGTAGTAGAGGGTGGCATAGTCGGCAGGCTCGTTCCGAGCAGCCCGCTTGGCGGTCTTGCCGTCTTTCTTAGGGAGGTGCAAGTAGCTGAGGAGCTCACGCTGGCCCAAGCCCTTCCGGAGGAGCCCATCAGGCTGGCGGGAGCCTCGGGACCCCTCAAGCGCCGCCCGTAGCTCTTCAGGGGAGAAGTCCTGCCGTTCCAACAGGCTGCCCACGCTGCCCATGGCAATGCCAGCAGGGCCTGGGGCTGTGTCCATGAAGTTTCAACACGGCACAGGCAGCTGCTTCTAGAGACCAAGAGGCTCCATCAGGGGCAGGTGGGTGCTTGCTGCCCACCTGCCCTCGATGCCCTAAAACCAGGTGCTTGTTCTGCGTCAGCTCCCCATCTGGCCCAGGCCCAGGAGAGGCAGGTATGGATATGGAGAGGATGCAGCACAGAATAGGCTGGCAAGAAGAAGGCAAGCCCTTAAGCCACCTGCCCAGTCAGTACCCAAGCATCAGCTAGAGGCTGGTGTGTGATTGGGGGTGGGGAGGTATGGATGAGGGGAGGCATTGAAAAGCAGGATAGGACCCTTCCCAGGCCTGGGCCAGTTGAGGACTCAGGCTCTGTCTGACTCTGGCCTTGCTCACTCTCCTGCTAGAGTCCCCCCCACTATCTGGGAAGTAGGCAGAAGGCACAGGGAACCAGGGCCAACCGCCTCAGATACTCCATTCCTTCTTCTTTTCTTGGGAGTGGGGAAACCCAGTTCAGCCCTCTTCCTGCAGAGAGTGAGCTCCCCAAGGGAAGCACCTGGCAAGGGTGGGGTTGCACCAGGCAGTGTGAGGGATACAAACAGGAAGGGCCAGAGGGGAGGAAGGATGGAGGGAAACAATGGCCACAGTTTCCGGAACAGGTGTTCACCGTGGGCCATGGTGGGAGGCAGGGGGGAGGGGCAGCCCTTACATATACGCTAGAGGGCCCACCACCAGGTGTGAGGACGGGGGAAGGGGTGCCTCTAAATCTGACCCTGCATTGAGGCGGTCAGTGTGGGGGGCCTGGCTTCCTCATGCGTACAATAGCCATGACAACTCATCACTCAGGGGTGCCTGGAGAATGGGCCAAGATAATAGAACAAAGCGCCCCGTCAGCAGCAGGGTCAACGCAGGCTGACAAGAGCAGAGCTCAGCCGGTCAGACAATGAGCACCACTGGTGGGAGACTCAGCGGCCAGGCTCCCCCTGTGCTGGGACCACACAGTGGAGGTGGGACCTGTCCCCAGTGCCCGGCTGAATCCCCTGTGCTAAGCCCAGTGCCCAGCATGCTGGATGAACCAGTGCCACCTTCTCTCCCTCCCGCCCGGCCGCTCCCATTCCCAGTTAGACCCCAGCAGGCACGCTGCAGCTGTGAGTCCCCCATAACCTCCCCAATATGCCGCCGGGACACCCACTCCCCTCCCAAACAATGGCCGTTAGCAGGTTCCATCTTCCTCAGCCATTTCCAGGTTTTGTGTTTGTGGGAGACAAAGCTCTCTAGGAGTAAAAGGGAAGGAGGGTGCAGCCCTGCCCCCACACATGTGGCCCTCCACCTCACCCTGGGCAAGAGTAACCTTCCCAACCCTCCCTCCCAGGCCCCAGCTCCTCAACACCTCCGGTGGTGCTACAGGCCACACAGGGCCAGGGGGCTCATCCGGGTAAGGAATCACAAGTGCTAAGCACCTACAGCGAGCGACACAGGGGTCTCACTGAATCCTGAGACCAAGGTACCATGTATTTTTTAGGTACGGCCACTAGGGCTCTGAAAGGTGAAATGGTTTGCCCAAGGTCACAGGGCTGGCCAGGGTGAGGACACCTGTGATCCAGCACCGTGGCTGCCAAATGACCAAGGATGTCACCCATGTCCCAAAGAGGGGGAATGGAAGCACCGATCTCCCAATCTGACCCCTCACCCCGACAAACCCACCAGGCCACAGACACCTCTGTGTCTGAGAGGGCACTGAACTCCTGTCAGAGGTGGGACAGCAGACCAGCTGGTCTCCTGCCCGGCTCTCACACTGACTCTTCAAGGGGCACCTCTCCTCACCAAGCCTCAGTCTCCCCATCTCCGAGGTGGGGGAAGACCCTGCCTGCCCTGCCTTCCTTATGGGATTGCCGTGAGAATCACAGAGACAACAGAGGCCAAAGGTCTTGTGAACTGTATAAGCCCAGTGAAACAAGGGGGGCGGGGGCGGGGGGATGCCGTGGACGATGGTGACAGTGATGCCAAATACGCTCACTTCATCCCAAATACACACTATCTCACCGTCCCCTGAGCAGATCCTCACTTCCTGTCTCAGGGAGCAATAACTGACATCCCCTGTGCCCCACAAAGAGTCTCCGTCTAGAGAGGCAGCCATAGCCATAACAGCATCTACGCCAGCCACACGTATGTTGCAGTCCAGTCAGTGCCACCAGCGGCACAGAGGCTCCTATGTTAGAGGACACAGCGCCGCGAGTCCAAAGGTCACCCACACGGCACTGAACACACTCTGGGACACATAGACATAATAATACAGGAATACTCCAGCAGGAGAGACCAGGAGAAACCATCTAGTTCCCTGCCCAGAGACTAGATGCAGAGGGTGTGTGTGTGTGTGTGTGTGTGTGTGTGTGTGTGAAGGTGGTGAGGGAGGCATGAGGCCAGTTTCCCGCCACAAGTGACTTGAGCAGTTAGACAGCTATGGAGCTGGAGGAAGAGGCGTAGACAGCCCCTTGCCTTTGTCTTCCTTTAAGGCCCCCACCCTCCACCCCTCCTAAGAAACTTCTCTGGCTGCATTACCAGCTGGTACCTTTTCCTGGAAGGGTCCCTCCACCTCCCCTGGCTCTCCCCTTTCCCCCCAACACACATGCCTTCCTTTGTTGGAAGCCCAGGGACTGGCCTGGCCAGACCAGGACAGCTGTGGGCTGGAGAGGATTTGGTGGGGAAAGGGGGATGGGGGAGGGGGGGGGTGAACGGGAACGGGGAGAGCAACTGGGGAGGGATCAGAGCCCAAAGCCAGATGCCTCTAAGTGCCTGGGCTTGCTCGCTCTGGGGCCCAGAGATCTGCCCAGAGCTGAAAACTGCCCACAACCCTACAGGCTAGGTTTGGGCTGGGCCTTCCGCACAGGCCCCAAGTGGCCCCAACAGGGCCTTTACTCCCACTCCCATCCCCTGGCCCCAAGAGTAGCCAGCAGACTGAAAGTCCTGAGCACAGAGGGACATCTCTTTTGGACCACCCTTGGTGGAACCAGGACAGTGGGCCTGGGGGAGCAGAGACAGAACATAAGGAGGCATCCTGGCGTTCATTAGTGGGTGCCTCGGTGGGTCAGCCTGACACAGGGCTACCATAGCCTCACAACAGGCACAGGAGGAGAGAAGTGTGAACCCTCCCTTCGTAAGAGAAAACCGAGGCCCAGGTGTTGAAACAACGGGCCTCAGGTCACGTCCAGCTGCACAGGAGGAAGTAAGGGCACAGGCTCCCCACCATGCGTCTCCTCTGGGCTGGGACATCCCAGAGCAAGTGGGCAGGACGCTCCCACTCCGAACTCTGCTGCATCAGCCCTCCTGAGCCCTGGCAGCCCAGAAGAGGGGATGTGAAGGGGGGTGTCCCACCACCTGCTGGGGAATCAGTTATGCTGAGGGGTGTGTCTGCAGCTGCTCCTGAGGAATGGGACTGGAATGTCCCAGTTCCAAAAGAAGGGGCAGTGGATGCGGAGGGGCCAGGAAGGGGGCATACCCTGGACGCCCTGCAACACTTGAAGAGGCAGAGCCGTGCCCAACCCCTGCAGGCGTGAGGCTTTGTCCCCCTAGAGTCACTGACAGGTGCACGGCACTCTGCAGTGTTCTTCAGCCCTTTCGTTCCATCATCTCATCTCCATAAAAGACGCTTCTCGAGGACGGGCCGAATAGCAGTTACTGTCACTCCATTTTACAGACCAGGAAACAGGCCCAGAAAGAGGAAGCAAGTTGCCCAAGCGATAGCCATCCCAACTCCCTGGGCAAGGTCTTCAGCACCGCATTGGGCTATCCCAGCCAGGGGTCACCACCGCCCCCAAGCGCACTCATTGCTGTGTGTGTGTGTGTGTGTGTCTGCCCAGCTGCTTCTCCCAAGGGCGTGTGCAGCCCATGCTGGGTTGGGTTCCAGTCCCCTTAGCCTGGAATCCCTAGGGCCTGCCCCTGGATCAGGAGGAAACAGTGGCAGCGCTGCTGCTTGAGGAGTTTTAGCCCTGGAAGCTGCTGGCTCTAGAGGCGGTAGTGGGAGCAGGCTGGTCGAATTCATTCACAGTCTGGCACATACACACCCACACACAGCCAGCCAGCACCAGAGCCCTGCCCAGGAGGGCCCTGGGAGGAGGCCGATCACCTAGTCCCGGATGGTGATCTCTGCCTCTGCCTCTTCCCCAGGCCAGGCAGGAAGCGGGCATGGCAGAGGGGCAGCCAGGCTGAGCCCCTGATGCAAAAGAAGAGAACCCCAATCTGTTCTTGGGGTACAGTGGTGCCGCCGGTGAAAGAGAATGGGTCCCATTCTATTTCTGCACACACCCAGAGCCCCGATTTCGGCTGGCCCTGGGCCAGCCCTCACTTTGGCCAAAGGTTGTGGCGTTGCTCTGGAGGCCAAGACGTGGGAGCATCTCTGGTTGGGGGCCCAGGAGGCAAGCTGGCAGCTTCTCCGCCTGCACAGGGCAGGGGTTTGAAGGACGAAGCGGGTATTGCGGAGGGGGCGGGAGAGGGATCTCACGGGGAAGGAGAGGCAAAGGAGGTGGGCACCCTTCCGGAACGTGTCCCGGGAGAGCTGTGGCAGAGGCTGGCTCGGGCGCCCCAGAACGGCGGGCGGTCATTTAACTACCTGCGGGACGGGAGGGGCAGCCTCTTCCTGGCGCCTTCCTGGGGCCCGCCCGGGGCGGCTGGGCTGGGAGACAGAGGCCGCGGTCAGGCTCCCCTGCCAAGGGCATCTGCCCCACCCTGGCCGCGACACAGGGGTCCCGAACGCAATTCTTGGAAAGCGCGTTTTGCGGGGATGGCGGGGATGGCGGGGATTGCGGGGAGCAGCAGAACCTGCGCCCGGCCCCTCCAGCGGAGCGTGTGGGTGGGTCCCCGATCCCCAGCCCCAGTGCCCGGTGCCCGGAGCAGGGGACACCTGGGCGCACACCGCCCCCGGGCGCCCCCACCAGCCTAGACGGAGACCTCGGCCGGCCGGCGGGGCTGAGGCTGGGCCAAGGTCGCCGAGAAAGGGGAGACCTCGCGAACGGCCCCACCTCCGAGTCCAGCCCTGGCCCCCGGCCCCCGGCCCCCGGTCCCCGGCGCGCCCCGCTTACCATGCCGGCGCCGCTCCGCACCCCGCGCGCCGCACTTCCCTCGCGCGGATTCGAACCCTCCTTCCAGGGCGCCGGCCCCGCGGAGACTGGGAGCCGGGCCGGGGCGGCGGGGCGGCAGGCGTCGGGAAAACACGGGCGGGCGGGCGGGCGGGCGCCGGAGCCGGATTGGCGAGGGAGGGACGCGCGCGGTGGCGGTGGCGCTGGCTCGCATGCCCCAGAGGCGGAGGGAAAACCCGGCCTGACTCACCCGCGCGCCGCCAGCCCGAAGCGTGGCCGGGGCCTCGGGAAGGGAGGGGAGGGGACGAGGGGCAACCCCCGCCCACTGCCCGCCAATCTGAGCCCCGCCCCGGCCCCACGAGCCCCCTGCCGGCTGCTCGCCGCGCAGCGCCGCTCTGCACCCGCCCGCTCGGACCCCGGCTGGTCCGCCGCCCCGAGCGCAGCGCGGACGACGCCCCCAAGGCGCGCCCCGCCTGCCCCGCTCCTCCTCCGGGCTTCGCGGTCCCTCTGTTTCCTGGGCAGCTTCGGGAGAGGCCCGTTCAGTCCACCACCTCCCTGATCCTCGCCGTGTTCTCTGGGGTAAATATCCCCTTTTGAGGCTGAACAAGAGAGTACTCCGGAGAGGTGGAAATCCAGCAAATCCAGATGCCTTCAGGATCCAAATAATTTGAATGGAACACTTGGATGTTAGACAGTAGAAGAAATGGAGACAGAGACAGAAATGGATACCTAAAGGCATTCAGATGGAAAACTATTAAACACGTGTCTTCTCAAAAAGTGAAACACCCGTGTCTTCTCAAAAAAGCAATTACACTCCTAGATAGATACCCCAAAATTGAAAACAGGGACTCAAACAAGTACCTGCACACCAGTGTGTGTGGTAGGACTATTCATAATAGCCAAAAGGTGGACATAGTTCAGGTTGTCCACTTGATGAATGGATAAATACATTGTGGTATATCCATACGATGGAATATTATTCAAAAGGAATGAAATGCGCCGAAACCGGCTTGGCTCAGTGGATAGAGCGTCGGCCTGTGGACTGAAAGGTCCCGGGTTCGATTCCAGTCAAGGGCATGTACCTTGATTGCAGGCACATCCCCAGTAGAGGGTGTGCAAGAGGCAGCTGATCGATGTTTCTAACTCTCTATCCCTCTCTGTAAAAAAATCAATTAAAAAAAATTATATATATATATATATATATATATATATATATATATATATATATATATATATATTTTAAACGAAATGAAATGCTGATACCTGAATGGAAATCGAGTTTGCAGGGATTCGGGAGAACAGCATAACCTACTGCCAGTCCCTCCAGCGAATGAGCCTCCAAAAAAGTATTGCTCAGTGAAAGAAACCAGACACAAAAGGCCACATGTGTGATTCCACTTGTAAGAAGCAGGTAAATCCACACAGACAGAAAGCAGTTAGTGCCAGAGGCTGTGTAGAGAGAGAAATGAGTGACTGCTTAAAGGGCATGGGGTTTCCTTTTTGGGATGAGGAAAATGTTTTGGAACCAGACAGAAGTGGTGGTGGCACAGCATTGTGAATGTACTAGAAGTCATTGCATTGTACACTTTTAAATGCTTAATTTTACATATGTAAATTTTATCAATTAAATAATAAAGACATTGCGCACTCACTCATGGATCGGATTTGGGCCATGGGTCAGAGTTTGCCAATTTACTGTCACCTTAAGAAACATCCAAACATGTAGAGAATTTTTTTTTAAATATATTTTTATTGATTTTTTACAGAGAGAAAGAGAGAGGGATAGAGAGTTAGAAACATCGATGAGAGAGAGTCATCGATCAGCTGCCTCTTGCACCCCCCCCACTGGGGATGTGCCTGCAACCACGGTACATGCCCTTGACCAGAATCAAACCCGGGACCCTTCAGTCCACAGGCTGACGCTCTATCCACTGAGCCAAACCGGTCCCGGCCATGTAGAGAATTTTTATTGAGTTTCTTTGCACCAAACTGACAAAATATGCCGGGAAGCAAGATCTCAAATGCTCCTGAGAATAACAGTTTACAGTTTCTTTCATGCATTTGAGATTAACGAGGGGAAGTAAGGAAGATTACATGAAAGTGGGCAAGAGCAAGGTAGGGATATGGTTACTGCACATATTAGAAGGAGGGGTCTGAAAGAGAACATTTCCAAGGTGTGCTACCCTATACGCACAGGAACAATGAACAGGGCTGGCTCACCGCAAAGATAAGCCTTTTACTAAAGAAGTTACGTGCCTGGGTCGTGACTACCCACCATGACCTGCTTAGTTAGGAATTTATAATCAGATCGCCCTTTGAAGTTACCTTCCGGAGAACTATTTAAGAAAATTCAGTAGATACTTTGGTGTCAGCCCAGTCTCATAGGGTTACAAATTGATAATAAAACAATTCAACAAATTTAAAATTTGAAGGTCTTTATTAAGCCATTCACAAATGAGCATCTCATCCAGCAACCAGAAGCATTCTCGGAGTTGCACAAAATGAAAGGATTTTATAGGCAGAAGGGGGGGCGAGGGAGCTATTAGTGACAGAAAAGAAAGGATTACTCTGGGCCAGCACATCTTTTCTTTGGGGGAAAAGAAAGGAAGGGTTTTTATTATAGAGGGTGTCTCCTCTCTCTGTGGGGGATGGAGAGGACCTATGTGACAGGTTATTTTATTGGTTCGTGACCTGGAAATCCAGGAAATTCCATACTGGTTGGTTAAGATTATGTTTCTCTGGGAAGTGGTGTGGATGAAAGGTGGTTCTATGGACAGTAGCTTCACAAGGTGATTAGACCATAAATTCCTAACTGAGCAGGTCATGGTAAATAGACACGCCCCAGACATATAACTATTTTAGTAAAAGGATTATTTTTGCCTTAAACCAGCCCTGTCCATTTTTTCTGTGCATCTAGATGAACACATTTTTGAAATGGCTCATTTCAGACCACCCCTTCTAATACATAACTGCCCATAAGAGAGCATGTAACCCATGGACACAGACAATAGGGTGGTAAAGGCTTGGGGCGAAGGGTGGGGGTAGGCTAGAAAAGATCAGTGTGAGGGGAGCGGGGGCGGAATGGGTTCTATGTAATAGTTTCAACAATAAAGATTTAATTTTTTTAAAAAGAGGGAGTACAGCTCTAACTGGTTTGGCTTAGTGGATAGAGCATCAGCCTGTGGACTGAAAGGTCCCAGGTTCGATTCCGGTCAAGGGCATGTACCTTGGTTGTGGGTACATCCCCAGTAGGGGGTGTGCAGGAGGCAGCTGATTGATGTTTCTCTCCCATCGATGTTTCGAACTTTCTATCCATCTCCCTTTCTCTCTGTAAAAAAATCAATAAAATATACATACTTTTTTTAAAAGAGAGAGAGAGTGGGCGCGGGCACACACATAATCTTGTTAACTATCCTGTAATCTGATCTCTGCCTTGCTTTCTCTCAGATTTATGTAATCTTTACTTTCCCTCCTTACTCTCAAATGCATAAAAGAAACTGGAAACTTATTCTGAGGAGTATTTGAGATCCTGTTCCCCAGCATATGTTGTCAGTTCTGCTCAAATAAACTCTTAAACAAATTTTCTACAGATTTGTTTTTTATTGATTGATTTGAGAGAGAACAAAAGAAAGAAACATCAATTTGTTGTTCTATTTATTTATGCATTCATTGCTTGATTCTTTTATGTGTCATGATTTGGGATCAAACCCTGAACGTTGGTGTACGGGATGATGCTCTAACCCAGTGGTCGGCAAACTGCGGCTCACGAGCCACATGCAGCTCTTTGGCCCTGTGGCTCTTCCACAAAATACCACGTGCAGGTGCGCACGAACAGTACGATTGAAACTTCGTGGTCCATGCGCAGCAGTCGGTTTTCAGCCTGGGTGAGTCTGTTTTGAAGAAGTGGTTCTAACACCTAGCCACACTCAAGGGGCCAAAGAGCTGCATGTGGCTCGTGAGCCGCAGTTTGCCAACCACCACTCTAACCAACTGAGCTACCCCACCAGGACAGGAAATTCTCTACAGGTTTTAATGTTCCTTCTTTATTAAAAAAATCTTTATTGTTGAAAGTATTACATAGAACCCCCTATTTCCCCCATTGACCACTTCTAGAAGGTTTTAATGTTTCATACCTCAATAGATGAAACAGCAGTTAGATCAGGTATTAAATCTAGGTTAGGTATTGTGTACGAAAGAAGGCCACATATTAAACCTGACAAGCTCAGGGGAGGCCTGCATGGTGGGCCTTGCAAACTCAGAGATCTAAAGTAGCCCCACAGGATGGTCTGAAATTAAAACTTCCTAACTAAAAACAAGTTATGGCGGGTCTCATTCTGGGCTGAAAGCTTCCTTGACAAAGGTCAATCTTTGAGTGAGCCCAGCTATTGTCTTTTTGCATCTAAGATAACATACCTTTTTGCATCTAAGATAACACTTCTTTTCCAGACCCATCAGGGACAGTCCCCCACAAGAACAGGAGACAATAGAACCTTCATTGTTTTTTGTTTGTTAATCTTCACCTGAGGATATTTTTCTATTGATTTTTAGAGAAAGTGGAAGGGAGGGGGAGAGGCAGAGAGAGAGAAACAGCTATGTGTGAAACGTCAATTGGTTGCCTTCCGCAAGTCCACGACCAGGGGATCAGGGTATGTGCCATTGACCAGAATTGAACCCGGGACCCTTCAGTCCATGGAACAATGCTCTATCCATTGAGCCAAACCAGCAAGGCCCTTCATTGTTACCTTGTTGCTCATATACCAACTCTATGTGCTGTAAATGTTAACTATCCTGTACCCACCAGGTAAAAGTAGTGTCTCTCTGGTTTTACTTTTTATCCAAGTCTCAAAGATTTCCCCACTTTGCTTCCTCCTGCCTACCTAATCTACCACCAATGGATTTCAAATAGCCCCCCTTTATGTTCACTCCTTTGATTTTAGTGGATAAAATGCTCTGGAGCATTTTCTTGATCCATTGAGATTTTTGCTTCTTGGCAATTGTTAGTTTGGCTCAAATAAACTCATAACTTTTTCTTAGGCTGAACATTCTTTTTTTTAAAAAATATATTTTATTGATATTTTACAGAGAGGAAGTGAGAGAGATAGAGAGCTAGAAACGTCGATGAGAGAGAAAGATCGACCAGCTGCCTCTTGCACACCTCCTACCGGGGATGTGCCCGCAACCAATGTACATGCCCTTGACCGGAATCGAACCTGGGACCCTTCAGTCTGCAGACCGACGCTCTACCACTGAGCCAAACCGGTTTTGGCAGGCTGAACATTCTTTTGTCAACAGTATTATGGGCTTTTATTTTTTATTTATTTATTTTT